AGCGCGTGGCAGCAATTGTGCAGAGCGCAACGTGCCTGATACATGTGTGCACGAGACCATTTTGACCCTAACCCCCGAGTCTTCCCCGACTTGCAGTGCGAGCCTTCGAAGAGACATCGGTAGATAGATAAATAGATGCGGACATCAAACCTGCGGAAGTTTGCAATGACGGGGATGAAGGGATTTGCCTGGGCAGAGAGTACTTAGCAGCAATGGAAAAAGGGATTTCATGCTTCCGGGCTTATGGGAGAAAGGAGAGGCAACTCCTAACAGTTCTCACTTTAAACTGAAGCGAACAGGAAGTTGCGGGCCAAGACTTGGTTTATTGAGCCATCAACTTCTTCTCAGAAAGAAACGGAAACAGCCCTAAGCCGCAAAATGACATCCTTGTGTTGCTTTCAATCATCCCGACACCTTCTGCAGGTGGACCCAGAGTAGGCCCTTATTCCCTTTTTGCGAAAAGGGCACCCGTTTGTTTCCTAGGTTACTCTTAGGTCTAGTGCAGGTGGACGAGCGACTCCATACCTACTGCCAGGAGAACCCGGAGAAGGAGAGTTTCGGGTCCAGGGTTCAGGGCTTAGGGTTTAGGGTTTAGGCTTCAAAGTTCAGGGTTTAGGGTTTAGGGCTTGGGGCCTAGTTTTTCGGCGGAATTTTGTCTTGCGTTGTCAGCATTTGGGACTCCGGCAGAGACCGAGAGCTCAACATTCCGCACTCTCCTCGCCTTGCAGGACTCAGGGGCGACGGTCGTGGGAGCTGTCTGCGTAAAAAGCGAGGATGGCACCTATGCTGCGAGGGTCTGAGATGCCTTGCTGTGATGCTGTCGGACTTGTAGCAATGCTTCCGGATCAACAATTGCGACTCGGAAACCACGAAGCCTGGAACCGCAAAACCCTGCTGTGCTCACGGATGCCGCTGCTACGGGGAAGCTCAAGGAAAGTTCCAGTGCTGAAACCTGCTCTCCAAGCATGTCTGCCTGCCTGCCTGACCGCGTGCCCGCCCGCCCGCCCGCCCACCCGTGCGTCCGTCCGTCCGTCTGTCTGTCTGCACGTATGCATGAATGCTTGGTGGATAGATGGATGGATGTATGCATGGATGAATAGACGGATAGATGGATAGTAGATGGGTAGATGGACATATGAACTGGTGGACAAATGGACGGATGGATAGACGGACAGACGGATAGATAGATAGATTGGTAGGCAGGTAGGTAGGTAGATAGGCAGACAGGTAGATAGGTGGGAGGAGAGAGAAAGAGAAAGATTATGTTGCCCTGAGGTCAAACTCCTGAACTGTGGCCACTTCCTAAGAGTGCTGGCGCCCTGCGATCTGGGCGTAAAAGGCTTTCGGATTTGAGGGCTAAAGTGCGGGGTTTGATCGGTAGAGCAGCAACCGAAAGCAGGAGCCTTGGTCCTCAGGGAACCCTGAAAGTTGCTCGCAAGGTGATTCGCGGGCCGTTATCGCCCGTGGAGTCAAGGAGGCACGACTCTTGAGAGTTTGGGTGGGCTGCGATGGCTCCGTGGAGGGGCACGAAGCCGCTGAGAGCATGTGAAGCCCTAAGGCCGGTGCAGGGCAAAGTGCAATAAAGGGGGCTTCAAAATTACCTATACTATACTACTGTGGGGGTTCCTTATTATAATTACTGTAACATAATTACCAAACCCCTTTTCTAATTATTAAGGCCCCTCAAGTAGGAAGCGTCAACCAGGATGAGGACTCCTGTGCCAAAGTGCAGATCCGGAGGACGGGTGTGGGGCGTCGGGCTGTGCAGTCTGTCTGAGGATGTTGGGGAACTCCATTGTAGCGATAGGGCCTTGTGATTTCGTGTATCCCTCCATACTACGAGGGGAGGGGACATGTTAAGTTTTGTTCCCACAGTTTGCTTGTTTTTGGGCGACTATGCACGATTGAGACAAGATGTGTGTTTCAAATGCTTCAATGCAACTCTGGGCGCCACAGAGCCCACGGTGTACCTCCCCAAAGGCCCACAAGTAGCCTACAAATTCCTGCTTGAACTCCACCAAAAAAACTTTCAGACACCCAGCCTACATAGCTTTGTTGGAAGTTGTGTTTAAAAAACTTAACATCGAGAAACTTAGGAACATTCCACAACCACACTCCACCGCTCGCCCACCCATCTCCAAATACATACTGTCCCAACCTCGTGCCCTGTAGCCGTAATCCCTGAAAACCCAAGCTCTGTCCATTGAAGACCCAATCCCAACAACTCAAGCCTCAACACCTGGCTAGAAACCCTTATTAAGCGTACTCAGACTCATACACAGACCCGTGCAAACCCTTTCGCCCTAACATTCCAAGCCCTAAACCTTAAAATTTATAAGCCCTCGACCTTAAGCCTTATAAACCCTAAACCCGCAACCTTGCAAACCCTACACCTTCAACCCACTCCAACCCCCCTTTCACAGAGACTCCAATCCATCTTAATCAAGGAATATACCTTAAATCATATGCGGGATGCTACGATAATTTAAGTTAAAGTATATTCCTTAGTTAAGGGGCTTTTGGAGTCTTCGGGAAGCCCACTTGGAGGCCAAGTCACCTGGAGGCTCTGGGACCCGCAAGCTTCTGCCGAGAGCTCAGGGGCTTTGTTGAGGGTTCCTGGGTTCCCCGGTGGGGTATTTAAGGGTGCTACGAGGGTACTACAAGGGTACTATAAGGGTATTACAAGGGTACTAAAAGAGTACTATAAGGGTACTATAAGGGTGGTACTGTAAGGGTACTATATGGGTATTATAAGGGTACTATAAGGGTACTTAGGGGCTACTGGAGAACCTAGGTTTGCCGCTTCCTGAGGTCATTTGTAGGGGCTTTAGGGCATGAGGGCATGGGGTTTCTTGTGGGTTTCTCAAGGGGTTTCGGGTTTGGTTTTTTAGATTTTAGGGTGGGGTTGGGCTTCTGAGATTTTGTACGGTTGCAAAGGGGGCTTTTATAAGTGGTTTTCGGGCTAAGCCTTCAGATTCTGCACCTTCAATCCTTCAGTCCCGAGACTAAGCCTTAACCCCAAACCCCAATCCTCTTAACCGCCTTAACTTGGCTTGAGGCCTAAGCCGTAAACTTCCAACCCCAAGACGCAAGCCTAAATCCCAGCCGCAAGCCCAAGAAATCCAAATGCCTTCGTCAAGAGGTCTTCCCTCAGTTTTTTCATAAAGAAGGACACATGCACTGAGGGGTTGGCGGTTCCGTAACCAATCATGGATCCTGAAAGGTGCTTTTTGGGTTCGTCGCCCCGTAAATTGAGATTGGAGGCTTCCTGTGTTTCAGAGATGCTCTGGTTGAGCCACTTAGCACAGTCCGCACTCGAACAGAATGGGGTCCTGCAGGGACTCCAAGTACCACACCACCGGCACGACGTCCGGCGGAAAAAAAGCACACCCACAAAACCCCACGGCGAAGAACCCCAACCGCCAAACCCTGCATTCAAGATAGCCCAAGAAGTGAGGCAATGCTTCTAAAGCCTCGGATGCCGAGGCCCAGGGTTTTGCAGAGTTCCCAGTTTTGCTGCTTTGGGCTAGGAATCCGGGTTCGGAGTTTCGGGTTCAGATGTTTCCGGAAGGGGGGGGGGGGGGATTTTAGGAGTTTATTTGGGCGTGCTGCGGCTTCCGAAGCAGCAGGGTCAAGGACTACACCGGACGGCCAATGTAAAAAGATGACGCTCCCACAAGAACTTGGATTTGGGGACCAGTCCTGCCGAACCTGCAGAGAATCGGGGCTCCGCTTCCGTCATGAGCGAGGTCTCTGCAGATGGCCCCCTGTTGAGTCCCATATTTTCCAGTGGGAGGTATCGCTTGAGCATCGGAACGCACCAGAAGCTCACATCGCTCCCAGAAGGAATCCTCCTTCACTTACTGAGTTCATTCAGACTTCGACTCCCGACTTCTGCGCAGTGGAAAGATTTATGATCCCGCCTGTCTAATTACTGTTCATTCATTGCTCTGTGCTTCTGTTGACGACGTGGTATCACGATTACGGTGGCTACTATAAAATGGCGTAATATGATAGAACATAATATAATATAACACAGTACAGTACAAAATACTGCAACGTAAAATTAGGTATAATATACTATACTAGAATATAATATGACATAATACATGCGGTATAGTATACTATAGTAGAATTCATATTAATAGCTCCACCGGCCTCGTCCCCGTCCCTCGCGGTGACGGAATCCGCTCTCCAAGCAGGCACCGGCTTCAGGAGCTACTCCTGGTGAGTGCAGGCAGCCTGCTTAGATCCGGGGCAGAGGAACTTCTGAATAACTATAGCATATTATACTGTGGTATAGTATCGTATGTCATTTTGTGTTATAGTGTACTATGTAATAGTATAGTACTGTAGTATAAAATAGTACCGTATCGACCGGGGCTTCATAGGGGTTTAGCTTCGTTACCAGAGGAGTTGATCAACGAGCTACGAGTGGGCATGTGCTCGCTCGGCACCTCAACCTCAGCGAGTTGCTGAAGCGCCGTCTCGATCATCGCCTAGACTGAACTCCTTAACCCCTGAACCTGAGTCTTTTTGCATTGAGCAGACTTGGGACTTAGATCGTAGCACATCACTTTCCTCAGTGTAAATGACAGCTTCAGAAAAGTGTGCTCAACCTAGCAGCATCATGGTGACGCATCATGAGATCAGCCAGGCTATGATAATGTTGTGCACTAAGTATTGGTCTCATGATGGAATGTGATATCTCGCTAGAGCCACTTAGAACCACCAAGTAAACGCTGATGAAGTAAAGAAACACCGCTCAGAAGCATCCAACCCTTGGTGATACACCACATGAAAGGCTCAAAGAAGTCGCAGAGGACGAACTGAGGCTTGACGACTCTTGACGACAGCACTGCTCGTATGGCGCCGGGTGAGACTGATTTCTGGATTCGACGGTGCGCAGCAGTAGTCAACATGACAAGCAAGACACACAGTGATAACAGTAGTGTTGCTTTCAGTACCAATATACGTAGAAATTTGGCAGCGTAGCCCTCATGGCATCTTCGACACACGAGGATGTGGACTGGGAGGCCTGCCGTGAAATCGGAGTTCGGATCCTGCTTACGACCACGACATGAAGTCACGCATTATTTCATGGAACCTTGAGTCTCTCTAATATAGGGGCCTTTCTACTATAGTTCTAGTAAGGACCCTCCCAAAATAGTGTTGGGAATTATTTAGGCCCCTATCCTAAACACTAAACTAAACCCTACAGATCCCTTATAGTTCCCTTAAAGGAACCCGGAGTCTCTATTCCTCGTACCTTGTGCCAGCCGGGAGGTGCCTTGCGACAAAAACTGGCGCGAGGACCCGAGGGTCGTCAATCGGCAGCTGCCTCCTCAGTGGCCCCTGGACCGCAGTGCAGCAGAGCTAAAGACAAGCAACGCGGAGAAACCTACTGTAGTACATGATGTTGCAGCGAAGTGATATATTTTATGGTATAGTATAATATAGTTCAACTTGCATGCTTTCTCGTCATCGTGCTCGTTGTTGGTGATCGTGCTGGGCATTTTCGTTTTTGCTGCTGTAGCAAAGGCTGCCACTGTGATGTTGACGGTTTGCGACGGCGGTGAGGTTGTTGATAGTAGCGACGGTAATGACGGTGATGGTGATGATGACGATGCTGCTGATGATGATGATGATGACGACTGTGACAAAGATCATTATGATTGTCATTGTTGTCATCACTATCTGCTATAGCCATCATGAAGTAGTAGTTGGTGACGCGAAAGGGGATGAACTAGTGACCGGTTTGGTGTTATTCCTCTCGCACGGAAAGTAAAGCTTGGCCGAGGGCGGTGTAGTGACATCAGCCAGTCCGTAGCTAGACGCTGTGATGAATCATGCGGCGGTGCCCAGATGTCTCACGACCCACCCGAGGTTCAAGACAAGCAACGGAAGCCGCGCGACTACATGCGGTGCGGTTCAGATACTTTCTGGGCATTCTCCGAGTTTGTATTTTGTGGTGCTGGCTGATTCTGCTTCAATTGGTTTAGTCATGCATCAGGTTGGTCTCGTGTCCTGGCCCTTCTGAAGTCAAAGCTCTACTTGGAGCTTGTAAGCACCGAGAAGATTTGGACATTTGGTACCCTGCAGCAGTCGCACAAGACGCTTATGTAAAGGCTGAAAGTCCACGTCCAGGTTCAGGTTGTTCAGAACTAGGGCCTTTTCTGACGTACCTAGTTGAAGTAGAACGCGCAGCGTCCGTCCAAAACCCTGCAAGAAAGACGCGAAACGCTGCCGAAGGGTCTTTCGCACTGCGGCACCGTGCTGCGCATTGCAACCCTCTTGCAGCTCCCTGTGTGTGCCAAAGCTTGTGCTGAGGCGATCCGTTTCCGGACTACTCACATGGTCCGATCTACAAGGTCAAGGAACTCCCGTTCAGCACATGTCAGACGCAGCGAAGAGCATGCAGGCTTTTGTGGATGTACCGCTTTCACATTGCATGCCAGCTTCAGCATGTTGCAGTTCAGGGTACGGTAATGATCAAGCAATGCGGCTGTGGGCAGCAGGACCGCGACAAGAAGCGGCAAGAGCTTGACACCATTACCGATGTGGCTTGCTCTGCAGCACCATTAAGACAGGGGTGGGGAGAATTAGTATTCATATTCCCTTGTAGACCCTAATTATTCTGGAGCCTCGAGATTCTTTTCTACATTTCCAGGGCCCCTGTTCTGGAGTGGGTCGCTTCACTTTCATCCTTCGGCATCAGGTGTCGGGTGTTCCCATTCGCGCGAGATCCTCACCGGTGGCCATTTCGGCCACATAACCATGTTGCGGGGAGGTTTAGGGTTTAGGGAGGTTTATGGTGGCTCTTCAGCTACTTTTCTTTCTCATCCTCTCAGAATCCCCAGCATAGGATCAGATGCAGGGAGAGGCGATCTTGGGATTTGCTGCTGCTCAGTCAGAGGCTATCCTGCAAGCCTGCGTGGGATGGCGGGAGCAGGATTGCGCTTCGGGCATGTCAGTTGCTTTTGAGACTGTCTAACCATATCTGACCTTGTCTGATACGATTTCATCTGTGTTTTCTTCAAGTCAGTGCCAGGACTGCTAGTACTGCAACTCGTTGCTATCACCGTCAAAAGCATCACCCCATTCGCCATCAAAGGGCCTTAACCCTAAAATCCTAAAACCCAAACTCTAAACCCTAAAGCCCCAACCCAAACCCTAAATTCAAGGCCCAAAGCCCAAACTCTGCGAGCTCAGGACAATTCAGCCGCCCTTTGCAAAGTCTCGCGGCATGCACTTCGGTCGCTGTCTACTGTAGTATGCCTGGAGCCCTGCCTCTGCAGTTCTCAAGTTCGAGTTCTAAGGACCTGCCGGGCAGCATCGCGGCGATGGGAAACTACCGTAGGGGGGAGCTGAAGATGAGGCTATGCAGGGCCGTGATGTGCCGGACCTTAATGATTAGAATGAGGGTTTTGGACATATTGTATAAGAATATAATAAGGAACCACCACAATCGAATAGATAATAGCTTCGACTTCTGCAGTCGGGGCCACGAGCATGGTGAGCAAGGAGTCAACAACTGACAATGATGAGCATACCTTTAAAACAACGAACAGACGATTCTAAGCGCTGCTACTGCTAACATTCCTGTGCGCATTGCTTTTCAATCGCTGTTGCTGCAATTGCTACTACTGCTACTACTGCTGCCACTACTACTGCTACTACTACTCCTGCTACTACTACCAGCGCGACTACTACGACGACAACAACTGCTGCTACTACTACCACGACCGACGACTACTACTACTACTACTACTACTACTACTACTACTACTACTACTACTACTACGACTACTACGATGACGACTACTATGGGCGTCGTAGTAGTAGTAGTAGTAGTAGCAGTAGTAGTAGTAGTAGTAGTAGTAGTAGTAGTAGTAGTAGTAGTAGTAGTAGTAGCAGAAGTAGTAGCAGCAGCAGCTGCAGCAGCAGTAGCAGCAGCAGCAGTAGCAGTAGCAGTAGCAGTAGCAGAAGTAGGAGTAGTTGTTGTACTTACTAGCAATAATGATAGTGCCATTACTATTGGTAGTAACACCAGGTGCAGCAGCAGCAGCAGCAGCAGCAGCAGCAATCTGCATCACCACTACCACCATAGTCATGATCATGGCGCCCCTTTGCTGCTTAAGTGATCGCCTGCGCAGCATCGGAGCCACATGACTACTTCTGTAGTGTCCAGTAAACTCGGTCTTCCCACGGCAATGCTTTGACGGATATGATCGTGTTGCTCGTGACGATGGTGGTGGTGCTGCTGCTGCTGGTTTGAGGAGTTGCATTTGTTGGTGTGCAGGTGGCAACGGCGGTAGTGATTGTGATAGGGATGGCTGGATTTTTGGATGATGGCGCGGAGGAGTTCTGTAGTTTCGTTATCACCATCACCGTCATCATCATCCTCAGCATTCATCGTCGTCATCATCACCACCAGGGTCAGCATCATCAGCATCGTCATCTTCATCTTCATTGTCGCCACCATGGCCATGACAGCATGTGTCATGCAGTCAAGAGCTCTTTCCTGGCAGTGACCTCTCCGAGCTCATGAGCCACTACGATCGGCTGGCTGGCTACAACCCCGACAAGCCAGAGACGCCGCAAAATACCCTTTTTTGTGGACCTGAAAGCGAGGAGCCGGGACAAGCGAATGACCACTGCTTGAATTTGTAGCGGCAAGGCACAGCTATCAAACTTTCAATTCGATATGAGTTTCAAAGCACTCCGTCGGTTCGCATGGCTCCCTTCACAGTTAGCAATACGAGATACTAAATTCGCTTTCGTTGAGGTCACGGGGCACACGACCGGCAACAGCAAGTGGAGTTTGTTCCCGAAAGCATCGCGAAGGGTTCTTCCGTGCGGAGCCGGGTAGATGAGTACATAGATGACAGACATAGAATCAACTTACTTGACTCTATACCTTACTTGACTCTACACTTGATACTTGACTCTATGCTATCTCTGTTCAAGCTCATAGCACTTGAAACTTACTTAGTTACTTATTACTTACTTACTTGACTCTATGCTATCTCTATACTTACTTACTTACTTGACTCTACTTACTTACTTACTTACTTGCTTGACTCTATGCCTCTACTCTATACTTTACTTACTTACTTACTTACTTGACTCCACTTACTTACTTACTTACTTGACTCTATGCCTCTATGACTGACTCTCTATGCCTCTATGACTTACCTCTACATCTCGGTATCTAATCTCTCTTCTAAAGCCAAGGGTGGCACCGTCGTCGTCCATCGGGAATGCAACCCTTCACAGGGATTGGCCACCTCGAGCGCCCAAACGCTTGGTAAAGTTACACATTTTGCGGTGCCCGCGCAACCCTTCACAGGGATTGGCCACCTCGAGCGCCCAAACGCAAGGTAAAGTTACACATTTTAGGGTTCCCGCGCAACCCTTCCCAGGGATTGGCCTCCTCGGGCGTTCAAACGCGAGGTAAAGTTACACATTTTTCGGGCGCCGTGAACCCTTCACAGGGATTCGCCTCCTCGGGCGTTCAAACGCGAGGTAAAGTTACACATTTTGCGGGCGCCGCGCAACCCTTCACAGGGTTTGGGTGCATTGAGCTGCATTTTGCAACCCTTCACAGGGATTGGCATTTTGCAACCCTTCACAGGGATTGGCATGGTCGAATGCACGAACGCTAGGTAAAGTTGCATTTTTTGATGTGCATTGAAATGAATTTTGCAACCCTTCACAGGGATTGGCGTGGTCGAGTGTTCGAACGCGAGGTAAAGTTGCAATTTTTTATGTGCATTGAGATGAATTTTGCAACCCTTCACAGGGATTGGCGTGGTCGAGTGTTCGAACGCGAAGCAAAGTTGCATTTTTTGATGTGCATTGAAATGAATTTTGCAACCCTTCACAGGGATTGGCGTGGTCGAGTGTTCGAACGCGAAGTAAAGTTGCTATTTTTGATGTGCATTGAATTTTGCAACCCTTCTGGCGTAGTCGAGTGTTCGAACGCGAGGTAAAGATATTACTTTTTGATGTGCATTGAGGTGAAACTTGCAACCCTTCACAGAGATTGGCGTTGTCGAGTGTTCGAACTAGTACTAGTACTACCACTACCACTACTACAACTATTATTGCTACTACTACTACTACTGCTACTACTACCACTACTACAAAAGAATACTACTACTACTACTACTACTACTACTGCTACTACTACTGGTACTACTACTACTACTACCACTACTACTACCACTACTACTGCTACTGCTACTACTGCTACTACTACTACTACTACTACTACTACTAGTACTAGTACCACAACAACAACTACAACAACAACAACTACTACTACTACGACTACGACTGCGACTACGCAACGACGACTACTACTACAACTACTACGACTACCACTACTATCACTACTATACTACTACTACTACTACTACTACTACTACTACTACTACTGCGACATAAAGTGACCATGCATAGAGTCATAGAGTCACGTTGAAACCACAGTAATCAGGGATGTCTATATAGTGAGGTTCCGGAGCTAGGAAAGGAAGACTTCTGCGTCATGTTGGACTATACCCTAAACCCGCTAAACCTGAACATTAGTGTTCATAGAGTGAACTACATCAAGTCAAGTGCGTGGTACATAGATGACTCCATGACTCTATGACTCTTTCTCACTCTGACGCTATGACTCTATAACACTATGACTCTATGATTCTGTCTCACTGTGACTCTATGACTCTATATGACTCTATGACTCTTTGAACTATGACTTGTGCTTGACATGTACTCGACTCTATTTCTCGATGACTCTATGAACTATGACTTGTACGACTCTTGACTGTATGTGACACTCCGACTCTGTGACTCCGTGCTTTTGACTCGGTGACTCTATGACCCTATACACTGGATTCTATGACGTAGCGCAACACTCTTCGCTGATGATGCTTTCGGGCCAATTGTCTTCTAGTTTTATTTATAGCATTTAGGCAAGATTACCAATCTTTTCTCTTTATTTTTCATTCTTCAACAAGTATGCCGGAGAACGGGGCTCGCATGTGACAGTTGGAGAAGCGTGCCAAGGGGTGGCAACATTGGCTGTGTGTGCATGGATTGTTGCACGATGGTGGGCAACTAACGCAAACGAGGCAGGCAGTGATATGAATCAAACGCGCAATCTGCTTCAGCTGGTGCATGTTATTGCTGAAGTTACACGGACAGCAGGCTGGAGCATTGTGAGGGGGAGAGAAGACCGGCTCGACCACCGTCTGTCCATCTGAAAGGCCACAACTATACTACAGTACTACTACTGTACTACTATTGTACCTGTACTACCACTAATACTACTACTACTACTACTACTACTACTACTACTACTACTACTACTACTACTACTACTACTACTACTACTACTACTAAATTGAAGAGCATGGCTTTACCAGACGCCGTCGACGCAGAGAAACAGCACACGACGTGACACGTTGCCTGCTCATTTGTGGGGCTTTTCTTCATTGGCATGCTGTGCAAACAGGAGACTTGGAGAATGAGGAGGCCTGGTATGTGGGGGCCTACAGCGGGTATCGGGGGCATTGACCATGTCCTGCCCCGGGAAGTGCTATAGAGGTCTGAATGATTACCTACGCCATTTTGGGGGTTCCTTTCTTCTCCTTTTGGTATAATGGGCCCCAAAACCCTATTCTAATTATTAGGGCCCCTACAGTAGGCGGATCATTCTTCACCGAGCAGGAAATACAAGACGGGCATGCGCGTACATTCCGTTGGCAGCTCGGCAGCAGTCAGCTAGGGTTCAGGGTCCAGGGTTTGGGGTTTAGGGTTTAGGGGTTTAGGGTTTAGGGTTTGGGGTTTAATCACCATCGCCCTCATCCTGGTCGTCCTGCTGGTCACGGAGGTCATCAGTAGCTATCGTCATGTCCACCAGCTGTTCATCTAGGCTTCAAGTCTCTTCATCACCATCATGGTTCGGAATATGACTACTGCAACACGTATCTGTGTTGAGTGTTCCGGGGCATGACGGTACCGACAAGAATAGCAACGCCAGACGCCGACATCAGACTACTACTTTCGAAGAGCACAACATGTATTCGCTATGACTCTAATTCGCCAGCAGAAGAACAACAGTAATTACACAGCAGCATAGGACTCACGGGGCCACAATGATCATCATCACCAACATCACGGAATCGCCATCACCAGCGTCATACCCAGGACCGTCGCCACCTTCATCATTATCATCGTTGTTATTGCCATCTTTAGCTTCATCATCACCGGTACCACCCTTGGATGTGGCAGTAGCAGCAGTGCAGTCGACTCGTCGTCGTATTCGTAGTGGCATTGCTGCATTAGCATGAGTATTACTAGCTTTGGTGATCAGTGATAAAAGTAAGTAGCAGGTGGTAGGAAACAGGTAGTGGGTGGTAGATAGTAGGTAGCAGGTTGCAAGTCGTGGGTAATAGATCGTGGATGCTAGTTAGTGTTTATGTAGTATGCAGGTGGTAGTGGTGGCAGTAGCACTAGTAGTCGTCGTCGTAGTCGAAATGGGAGTGGTAGTGGCAGAGTGGCAGTGGCAGTGAGCGTGGTAGTGGTAGTGGTAGTGGTGGTAGTAGTAGTAGTAGTAGTCGTAGTCGTAGTCGTAGCAGTAGCAGTAGCAGTAGCAGTAGCAGTAGCAGTAGCAGTAGCAGTAGCAGTAGCAGTAGTCGTGGTAGTAGTAGTAGTAGTAGTAGTAGTAGTAGTAGTAGTAGCAGTAGTAGTAGTAGTAGTAGTAGTAGTAGTAGTAGCAGCAGCAATAATGGCAATAGTGAGGGTAGGTTGCACATACAGGGTCACTTATCTTTTCGCTTTCTGTTCGCCCTTGCATTTCCCAGGCCCAAATTTGTCGTGCAACGACTCACAGTTCACGAGCCACGCCCACGCGCGCTTCTACCTCTCCAGCTGCGATGAAACTGCTCCAACAAGAGAAGAGGCCGGTAGTTGTGACGACTGTTGTGACATACTAGTGGCAGTGGTAGTTGGGAGTGGCAGTTCTTAGTTGGACTCGATTTAGTCACCAAGTGTCTCTCTGCCTGACAATCAGCAAGATCTCAGCCCGGATTCCTGAGGCGCCCTTCGTCCCACGGAAGCTTGATGCACGTGGCTACATGGGTTGGGGTCCCGAAGAGTACGCGGCCATGCGGAAGCCGCCGGAGCGGCAGCTGCCCCTAAGGAAGTGAGCGCCCTCTTTGCGTGGCATCTTTAATATAGGGGCCTAAATACTGACAATACTATTTCGGGGGTTCCCTTTTTATAGTCATAGTATAATGGGCCCCAAAACCCTATTCTAATTATGAAGGCCCCTATATTACGGGTCAGTAGCTTTGATGTGGTTTTGAGTTGCAGCTTTTAGCGCCCGCCTCACTGCTCTTAGGATAGTAGCATGGACTCGCCTGCACGGTTATTTTCACTGACTCGTTCCTGATGCTCATTACCTCCAGGTTATGTCTGCCGTGACGATTCGTTACAGACCGCTCACGGTTTCAACCTTGACTACTTTGTACATTGTGTTCAACGATCAAGCGGTGGGGCTTGATGATGTCTTGAAGGGATCTTGATATGTGAGGACTCACGGTGTAGAGCGAGTGCATTTTCGTGCAGCGGGCGAAAATGGTCACAACCTCTGAATTGAGGGGTCTTGTTTCTGGCTTAGGCCCTTGAGATGGTTCCTTCTGGAAGAAGGATCTAGGCGAACCCCTAGACCTAGCCCACAACTTATCCGGTCCGGCTTACTGTTTGACACATGACGGAACATGTTGCCACAAATGGTGGGGGGCCGGGGGTTCTGCAGAAGGGGGGCTTTAGTTGGGTCTGGTTCATATTGTAAGCAAGGATCAGGAAGACTGCCTGCATCCCAAGGTCAACAATATGTCCCCTAAGTTGGTTTCGCATTGTGTAGCAATGCGTCCACTGCTCCTTTCAGCCTTCCTGATGCTGTGAAGGAAGGTTTACTTTCTGGGTTGGCGCTTGAAGTTTAAGGAGATCCGGCTAGCGGCCATGCGTCTGTCTTTGTGGAGAAAGTCCTAAACAAGCCCCAGATTCTAAACTTTGGGAAGAAGGGTAAGGGTGGCCCCATAGATTAGCTCAAGACATCTAAACGCTCCATGTATTTGTAGACCTCCTGGCCGGAGTGCCAAAGGCAGGATATTATAGGGGCCTAAATGATTACGAATACATTTGGGGGTTTCTTATTATAGTTAAAGCAAAATTTACCCCCCCCCCAAAGCGCGGTTCTAATTATTTGCAAATCACGCCCCCTGTATCAGCTGGTGTGCAGAGTGCGGTGGTCATGAGGTTTCCGGTGATCTTGGAGACAGTGGACCACAAGCCTGGCGCTCGAAAGGATTTGTCGACCTTTGATGGGGCTGCTACCCTTCTCCTCCCGGAGTCTTGTTGCGTGAATGTCCTGAGTCCAGACAGGAGCACAGCCCTGCCAGCCTGGAGACAGATTCCCTATCTTAACACACCAAAACTCTGCGGTTTAACTACTCTTGTGATTGAGGCTTTCATGACGCCGCAACTGAGGCCCGACCATCCAACGGAGAAGTTCCGTATCGAGGCCGCTGGTGGTACTGTCACCATGGAGGCCGCGGTTGATTGCTTAGGGTTTCTGAACTCCACCGTGTCGCAGGTAGAGTATCCTTGGGGCAATCTCGTGCAGCATAATGCCGGTCCCGATACAACACACATAATGCTCGCCACTTTGTAGACCTGCGCTCGCTGGCATGTCGTACAATACAAGACACTGTGCCGTGATTCCTGGCCCTAAACACTACAAGCCCTTAAACCCTACCGCCCTAGTCCCTAAAACCCTTAAAGCCTCAATCTAGGCCCTAGCACTCTAACACCAGAACATGCTGACAACCCAGCAGCTTGCACCCTAACACCATAGATCCCTAACACACACTTTCAAACTCCAAAACCTGAACACCAAACCCCTAAGCTCTAAAGCAAACACTTTGTCACGGCTACAGGCCTTTTCAGAGCCCCTCTAAACCAGGTCACCCTTAGATCGCCCGGCCCCGCGCTGCACCCCGTAGCGAGACCGCCCGGGTGCCGCACCCCATATGGCGACCCACCCTGTGGAACACTGGGAGGCCTCTATGTGCCGTGGCACCCCTCACCTCGTATCGCGACCCGACCGGTGGAAAAAGAAAGCGACCCCAGAGAAGTTTTTGGGAGAAAACTCTCTAACACCCTAGAGTGTCTCGCTCCGAACGCAATTTCGAGGATCCGCCGCGGTTGGATGGCAGTTTGGCCGTCTCGAGCTCAGCTTCAGGGGGTGATGTAACTGAAACGGCTTCTAGAGCATTTTGCAAGTACAAAGCTTCTGTAGATTTTAGAACGGTTTAAGGGTTTAGGGGTTGACAGATATTCGGGTTTTGGGATTAGGGTTCATGGTGTTATACGGGTCTATAGGATTTATATCGATTCTATCGGGTTCTGTGCGGCTTCTACAAGGGATCTATGAGTATGAACGCAGCTCTGAGCTCCACAGCACAAAGAACCCCATAGCTGAGCCTGAAAGATGTGCGACTTTGGCAGTGTAACTCTAGGGCTTCGTTTTTTTTCAAGGTCCGACTACTGTAATCTTCATAAAAGCCCCCAGGTCTTGTAGTTTTGCCACCGCATGCGTATTGCAATCTTCATCAAATCTCCCAGCAGTCGAAAACCTGCAAAGCCAAAGGCCTGAAAGAGGAGCCAACAGCACTCCAGATGTGGCTACCGACCCCCACTCAGCGCTAGGCCCCCGGAACCCTGCTAAAACCCCAAACCCCCGAACATCCTCAGCCTTTTAGGTGAGTCGTGGGCTGGGAGACTTCGAATACAAGGGGGATGGCCCGGACCTGAGAACGTGAAAGTGGCGTGGACTTACATGGGGATTACCTTATGGGATTCTACATATGAGCCCCAAAGGGAACTACTATGGAGCCTCTAGTTAATGCCGAGTCAGACAGCCGTAGATCTCTAGATCTAAACTTTTATCCTTAAACCTTTGTTTAAACCCGAAACCCTTTCACCTTTGAGCACTAACCGCCCAGACTCCGAATAGTTGTTCAATCAGGGCAGGCATGCGCAAATGTGTGCAGACGCCCAGGCCTTGAGATTGAATCCACCCGTAAGTCTTGAGCTTGACTCCAGCCAAAGCCCACCGGTTGAGGGTCTTTGCTGGGAAGACTACCATAACATCATATACGGGAATGTTGGCTGGTGCTGCCAGGTCATGTTTCTTGGACTACAGTAGGTGCAAGCAATCCTGCCCAATCAAGCTCTCGGTTTACTGCGCCAAAACTATTTCTCAATCGATGCCAAACATGGTTGCGAGACCATACGAGTCTCATTCGCTGTCATCAGGGAACCACTTTCTGTGAAACCGTTACGAGAGAGCAATGGGATGATGTGCATTAGGTGCATCTGCTTCTCTTCAGTGTCCATGTATCTTACACGGTGCTATACATGTATACGTGTGTATATGTTAACACGTAGGTAGGCAAACAAGCGGACACAGCTGGCTTTCCGTCTCTGTCTCTCTGTCTCTCTCTGCCTCTCTCTCTCTCTCTCTCTCGCTCTCTCTCTCTCTCTCTCTCTCGACAAGGCTTCGGTGGACTTCACGTTCTGTCCTTCTCTGATTCTGTGTTGCCTGCAAGAACGCACATGCTGACTCATCTAAGATGGCAAGCCTTGTTTCTTGACAAGCTTTCGCTCTGCGAGCAATCAGACACGAGTTTCCCGGTGTCGCTTCCAGGCCAAAGGCTTGCCAGTGAGCAGAAGGATCCGAGCTCAGTAGATGGGGGGGGGGTTGGAATGGGCAACTGGACAGGGCACGCGCCTTCCTGCTTGTGCTGCTCCCCTGCCCACTACAGCTATGTATCACTATGTCTTTTGCAATTACAGTTGCTATTCACTGATTACCAGTCCATCACCATTACTATTGTTAGTATATTGCATGCTATGACTATGATTATAGCAGTATTATGGAGATATCTACGACTCTGACTATTGCCGTTGCTTTTACCATTACTTTACCATTACGAGTACTGGTTCGAGTACCATTGCTACTCGTGCTACTAATGCTACTGGTACTACTAGTACTGCTGGTACTGCTGGTACTACTGGTACTGCTGGTACTACTGGCGCTACTACTATTGCCACTACTACTGCTACTGCTGCTTCTACTACTACTACTACTACTGCTACTACTACTACTACTACTACTACTACTACTACTACTACTACTAGGACAACAACAGCAACTGCTGGTCCTCCTCCGCTGCTGTTAGCGTGACTTCTTTTTCCGTTTTGATGGTCGTTTGCGAATCCGCTGCCACGTTATAATGAATGCTGTGATGAGTGCGGTCACCTTTCATTCTCATTGTGTTTCTGCGCGTGCTTCTGATGACGTTCAGCATGCGTTTTGGTACACGATTTCTCAAGTGACCGAAGCCTGCACAGAGCGACGGCTCGTGCAATGTGTTCCACATCCGAGGTGTCCTGCGTTCCGGACATATACGAAATCTCATCCCTCCAGCTCGGACCTTGGTGTGTCCTCATCCTGCCTGAGAGTTTTAGACTTCCAGTCTGAGCTTGACTGCAGAGTTTCAGCAGTCGGGCAATAGTGTTTAGGGCCTTAGCGTATATAGGATGTGTGTATAAGTCAAGGTTGGGAGGGGACCGCAACTCTTAACTTATGGCCATCCCTGCAGAACGCTTGCAGCTATGGAATCCTCCCATCCTTTCAGAGTATCCGTGCTTGCAGGACTCCGACTCTCCCACGTTCCCCAAGCCGATGCCAAAGCCTCCCTAGGTCCCTGAGCAGTACCCTTTTTGCTCTTTTTGTTTTTTGGGCCCTTTTATTGAAACAGCATGGTAGGAACAAAAGGTACCCTTGTAATTATTCTGATAATTATGATTATTATTCTTGTTAAAACTAAACAGTAGGACAGGCACCCTTATTATTATGATCAGTATTCTTATTATTACTATTATTATTAAAACGGCATAGTAGGAAAAAGGTACCCTTATTATTAAGTGTGTGAGTGAGTTCGGGCTCAGCATAATATTAGATATTATGATACCGTATGGTATTAAACAACATGATATGATATGTGATAAGGTATGATATAAATGATATTATATGGGCTTTGATTCTGGGAGGAATGATTTGGGTGGCTTGGCCGCCTTTGAGGGCGTGGGGTGGTGATATAAGAAAAGGTACAGACTCCGACTGACTAAATATCAAGTTTTAACAGCCGTTCGCCACAGTAAGTTGCTCGACCCGACCAGCATCCGTGCTTGTTCCCCGAATCCCTGTACCGTATACCCTAAGACCCTGAACCCAACAGCCATGGACCCCCAACCCTGAAATTCCCAAACCCCAAAATCCGAATACCCCCTAAACCCTGAACCCTACACCCTAAGCCCTAAACCCTAAACCCTAAAAACCTCAGATGGAAGGCCGGGAAGCATCTGCGTGCTCGGCTGTGATGGCATATGGGATGCCCCGGCCTCAGGGGCCTGGCGCCTTCAGCTTTCTGTGAAAGGGGTTCCGTGTGGTTTAGGGTTCCTTGAAAGGGTTACTATAAGGGTACTGTAAGGGTTCCTTTAAAGGGCTCCATAAGGGTTTAGAGTTTCCAAAAAACAGGGGCACTTGATTTTGGGGTCCTTATAATAAGGATCCTATTATTTAGGGTACTATATTAGGGTCCCCCTATTTTCGGAAACTCCCGTGTGGGATTCCAGTGAGGGTTCCTATGAGGGGTTGCTGCAGGGGCTACGAGAAGGGTTCCTGAAAGGCTTCCCGTCGGGGTGTTTCTTGTCAGGTTCAACAGGCCACTCTTTTGGTGGTTTGGGCAGCTTGCCAGGGGCCTTCAGTTGTAAGCCCTGAACCCCACGTCCGCGATAGCAAAGAACCAGACCCCTAAACCCTAAACCTTTTTGTTTCAACCAAACTCTAAACTTCATACCCTCCATGGCAAAGAACCAGCCCGGGAGGTCATGACCGCGGAAGACGTTGCTTCTCGGCAGAGCTTGTCATGGGTCAAAGGCAGACCCTATGCTCTAAACCCTACTAGTAAGCGTTGGTAGCATTGGGTTTGCTAGAGAGGCTTCTAGGTTCTTGGGGTGTCACAGAGGGTGGTGTTGGGGTAAGATATGTCGGGGTGGGGATTGGGTGGGGCACTGTGGGGCGCGGGGGTGGGGGGTGAGGGGGACCAGAACATTCTGGTTTCCGATCAGGGCGTGTCTCCTAATCTGCCGGTCTGGTTTCCGAATCAGCCGTTGTTATTGGAATAGGGTTTTGGGGCCCATTATACTATAGTTATACAGCTATAGTTCCCGAATCATGGCTGGTTTCCGATTCAGCCATTCTCGATTCAATCGTTCTGGTACCGATTGTTCCAGACCAGCACAAGCAGAGCGGTAAGTGGTCGTCATCGTAGCAACAGCAATAGACGTAGCAGAAGCAGTAGCTGCAGCAGTAAGGATCATACGAACTGAAAGCATAATAGCACTGGTGGTGGCTCTGATAGCGGTTTTCAGTGATAGTATTGTCTTCATCGTCGCCGTTGTGGTCGCATAGTAGCAGTGATAGTGACAGTGGAAGCAGCAGCACTGCCGACAGTAGCATTGGCAAGAACGCAACAACCTCAATTCAATTATGCGGAGGCCTAGTGGCGGCAACAGTCATACGGTTGATGATATAAGTCCTGCATTACCCATAACAAGGGATACAGGTATACCATAATCCCCATCAGGGTCCTTAAGGTAATGCAGGATTCATCAACCGCAGTTTGAGTTCTTCAGGCAACTAGGTTGCAGAGCTGCGCTTTTCCTAAACCCTGAACTCTAATTCAGATGCCTAAATACCTATCAGTTTTAATCCTCAGGGTTCCTTCTTATAATTATACTAAGATACTATAATGTACCACCAAACCCTATTCTCATTCATTAAGGCCCCTACGTCAAGTCCACTGATCTACAAGAAGGGCCTAAATTTTTGTTTCGGTCGGGATCGCAGGGCCGCGAAGGTCCTGGCAAGGTCTGCTGGAAAGTTTGAGGCGACGGTTGAAGTTGAGATCTTCTATATGGGTGGTTGTCAAAATTATGGTCCCTTTTTGGGTACCCTAAATATTAGGTGCCGTATTATAATAAGGACCCAAAAAGGGACGCGAATATTGACAACCACCCATATAGTTAGCAATTAGTATTTAGTAGTATTTAGTACATGTTATACAGATTGTATACGGAGACAGTATCTGTAGCACATAGGTGCAGAGGCTGTTCACAGAACGCGGTTCCTTTGGTGGACATGACCTGGTTTTAACCCTCAGCTTTAAACGCCTCTCTTAAGGCAGAGTACGTGCGCGAGGAGGCAGGCACCTGAGATCTTGCTGTCTGCACGAAGAGACGCCTCATAAAGGGTTCTATAGGAGTTATAATAAGGTCCCGCAGAAAGGGTTCCTTTAAAGGGCTCCGTCGTGGGTAATGAAGAGATATCTGGTAGTCCACGACCTGGGAGGAAAGCTTCAGTTTAAGGACTATCGCTTCCCTCTCAGGAACCAAATCTAACGTTGGGACGCTCCAGGAACAGACCATCGGTTCCAACACCTTAAAGAAGCGAAAGCCACAGCCCAAATTCATCCCAGCAAAAATGCAGCATACCGACATTCAAAAAGTAAACTTGATCTACATCCGTCCTGATTCCTATATTGGGTTCGGCCAGCACCACCAGCATCCACCAGCATCCCCCAGCACCCAAGACGTCGGAGCCAAACGAACGCTCGTGCTCAACGCCCAACTGTGTGATCTCATGCCGTACTCCAAAATCATGGCCCGTCTTCAACGACAGCAATCCCAAGTTTACTTGTTGCCTACCCCAAGCATTCATTCCTCATAATCGCGAAATTCAGCCCTCAAGCTAACGCCCCTTCACCCTAACCCTCCACAAGCCCAAACCCTAACCAAAGCCCTAAACCCCTAAACCCCTAGACCCCCAAACCCCTACCCTAAAACCCCTAAACCCTAAGCCCCAAACCGCCGAAACCGACCCAGCTCTCTATGGATCCTCCCACTGACCTCGGGGATGTGGCTGCCGAGCTACTCCGCCTCTGCCTGAAAAAGTGCCTTGGGCCGCAAGAAGGCCTGAGCCGTTGGGTTTAGAGGTTCAGGGTTTAGGCTTAGGGTGTAAAGGTCCAGGGTTTGGGGTTTAATATTGAGAACAGGGTTTTGGGCCCAGTATACTACACATATGACAAGGAACCCCAAAATAGTATTGGCAATTATTTAGGCCCCGATATTATAGTAGCCTTATAGTGTCCCTTATAGTAACCCTTATAGACCCCTTTACAGGAACCCAGGAACCCTACTATTTTTAGGCCCTATATTATATAGGAGTTCCCAGTTTGGGTCTGAGGACCGAGCTGAAGCCCAGAACCGACAGTCAGTGGCGGAAGGTGAACCTGTCTCAGTCTTTGTGTCAGGGAGTTTCCGGAAAGTAGGGGTACCTTATTCTGGGGTCCTTACCTTGAGGATCCTACTGTTTAGGGTACTATATAAGGGCCCCCTATTTTCAGAAACTCCCAGTTGTCTGTGGCTGGCAAGCATGCGTATCGTACTGCGACCTGCATAGATGCACAGCCGTGCTTTGAACAGAAACATAAGCTGCGCAGACATCAGCACAAACATAAGTCAGAATACTTTAATCATGAGCAAAACTTAATCATAAGGCATGCGCTTGCGTGTGCATACGCACATATCTAAGTGTATCATATATTTAAACATACATACATACATATATATATATATATATATATATATATATATATATATATATATAAATATAAAGATAATACACGCGCACAGGCATATACAGATATGCTCACATGTGTATATACCTATATATATATATACACACATATAATAGTTTATGTGTGTGTATGTATATATATCTATATATATATATATATATGTATACATACATACAACTCGCCACAGGATGCACACGAATTGGTCACGGATCCCAAAGCCGGGCCATTTCAGTGATTTGGGGGTCGTGGGCCACCAGCAGAGTGCTTCAAGGTGGGTGGGTTATATAAGGGTATTGGGTTTGCCATGCCTTGAAGGAACAGCCGTGACAACATGACCTGCATGATCCTCCAGCTGGTGGATGGCAGCGATTCCGTAGGCTTCCCGGACGAGATGAAGAATTATGAGAAGCTCCCCGGCTGCAGAGAGCGGGACGAGAGAAGTGAAACATCCACGACGGCGAACACTTCATCCTTCCAGTGCCGCTGACATTCCGGTTAAATGTCAGCAACATTGGGTCGGCAACAACCGAAGCAATATGAACAACTCATCAATACCAACAAGATGGCCGCAATGATAATCATTGCCATCGTTTTTGCCGTCGCCTTTATCTTCAAAGGTGCCATCAGCATTCTGGGCATCATGACACTGATGATGGTGCTGGTCATCATCACCTCCGAATTCCATTGTTTTCCCTCACATCTTTCCTACTGCATGCCGACACACACGAAGATTCTTGCTAGCCATACTCGGGCAACTTTCATTATAGATGCGACAGCACCGACTACAATTACTCCACCTCCTGCTGCTGCTTTGGCAAGTACCAGGACTAACACTCGGACTAGTATTCGGTTCTGAAGGTTTTTACCTGCACCATCGAGCCCCAAACGGTCGACGAGAGATAGCGCGTTGCAAAGGCTGCTCGAGCGTGGTGACCAGGATGCACTGCCGACGAGCTTGGTGCTGCAAGCATCAATGTTCTTGCTGGAGAAGCTCATAGTAAGTATGGCCGGTACTGTTGTCATTCCTGCAGTGATTTCACTTATCTGGTCACGTCTTCCGGCAGCCGGTGTTGTCGTTATGGAGATGGCTGCGGACATTTATCAATTACCGTTACTACCAGAGTCCGCGTTGTATCTGTCTGTCGGTGAGACCTAGACATCTTGTTCTTTGTCGAGATCGACATGCTTAAAGCAGCTTCGCATCCAAGCGAGCTGCTCTTTTGACTTGAAGCCTTGACGGCCCCAGGGCCTCATCCCTCCCATCTCGAACACCAAACGCTTCGTGATGTTTGTCAATTCGTTCAGAGCTCCGATCAGCAAGCGCAGTACCTGGCATGCTCACGCCTTCTGACACAGTGCTTGGGTTTGAATTTACACATGCCTGCACATGCATGTGTTTGTGCGTGTGTCGCAGATCATTCATGTGTCAAGCGAAGCAGCACACTAAATCGTAGTAGCAGATACTAGCCAGGCTGTCGCACTGCCCTTTCTAAACCAGCGGTTGCTGAAAGTTGATGTGTGCGCACATGGTCAACTCATGACTCCCCGTTTGCATGTTTCTCCTCTGCACTCTCGAAATGCACCCGTCTTCATACAGCTTTTTTGCCGTCGCTTCATGCTAGCACCTCGGACCCGCCATGTCTGCATGCCAGGAGGACGTGCAGAGCCATTATGCTAGTTTCTTGACGACGTCCAAATTCCCTCCGCAGGCCGGGAACGGTGCTTGGGGTCTCAAGGCCACTTGCCCAAGGCCAGTGGGACATTGAAGTGGTGATGGCAGGCTCTGAGCTGTGACGTCTGCAAGAGATGGCTGCTTCAGATGAACCAGTCCGGGCCTTGAAGTGGTGGCTGACGGAGTTCTCGTAAAGTAGCCGTAGTCGCAGTCGTAGTCGCAGTCGCAGTGGCAGAGTCGTTGTGGTAGTTGCGATACTCGTTGGAGGTGGATCTGGTGGTGGTGATGGTGGTCATGCTGGTGATGCTGGTGATGGTGGTGATGGTGGTGGTGGTGGTGGTGGTGCTGATGGTGTTGTTGGCGATGGTGGTGGTGGTGGTGGTGGTGGTGGTGGTGGTGGTGGTGGTGGTGGTGGTGGTGGTGGTGGTGGTGGTGGTGGTGGTGGTGGTGGTGGCAGTTGTTGTTGCTGTTGTGACGGCGGTGGTGGTGGTGGTGGTAGTGGTGGTGGTAGTGGTGGTAGCGTGGCAGTGGTAGTTGTATATACTGGCAGGAGCAGGCAGTGGCAGTGGCTGAGACGGTGCTAGTGGTACTGGCTATGAACATGACAACTCTCCAGACTACAGAAATTCGAGGAACACGCTGCATGCCGTCTGAGGTGTCAGTGCAAGCAGGTCTTCTACTGCAGCAGGCCAGCTGGAATCGGGGCCCGAGATCAAGTCCTGAGCTTTCGACCACAGCTAATGAGACCACCGGCGTGACGGAGCCCAGCCGTGCAAGCTTGTACTTGTAGCTCTTCGGTGAATTGGAGCCAACGGGAGATGCTCGCGTTGCTCTCTGAGCTCGATACGCAGCGCTTGAATGCCTGGGCTGCCACTCTTTGTCTCTTTGCCTTGCAGGACCTGTCAGAAGAGAGGCTGGAAGGCATGGGTTCACAAACGTGGCGAGAGAGGGAGATGGAAAGAGAGAGAGACAGAGAGAGAGAGCGAGTGAGTGCCGTTTTCGCTGGGCTGTCATTACCTTCACAGTGCCGTGAGTCAACGCCGACATGCGGAGGCTCATCAGAAAGTCTGCGGTGCCAAGGTAGACGGTGGAGGCACTGGCCTTTGTACCAGAGTGCCATGCGCAGTTGCACTCTCGCCCTGCAACTCCGTCAGTCTTCAGTTGTATGACTATATCTCTGACAGTTCCTCTCCGTCTGTCTTTTCCACTTTGCACGTTCCTCCACCTGTGCCCTGCGATCACGAGGTGCAAAGCAGAAGGATTGAAGTTGAGTGGCCATTGTTTCAGAGCAGCACCGCGGCATCTCCAGCCGACGAAACGGCATATGACTCCGTCAGGATCAGATGACGGGCTCTCAGCAAAACGGCCAAAACAAGTAACGGCATAAAGATCACCGGCATGATTCCCTGAGCATAAGATCATCGACATCCGAGTTGATGCACAGTACCTGTGGGTCGACCATTCCATCAGCGAGAACTCTGGTCGAAGGAAATTCAGCGCAGAGTACAGACTGTCACGAAGAAACTGCAGGTGAATGGTTAGTAGCTTGTCCTTGAACAGGGCATCACAAGCATTCGTTCGTCTACACGTGCCTTCATCGCCTTCATCCTGAATCCTAGGGGGCTTTGTGCGCCGCAGACCTGATGGCATATTCGCCCTTAGCTTTCCAGAGAGCCTGGTGCAGCTCTGTTGCCTCATCCGTACTTGAACAGGAAGGGTGCGAAATTTTGCGCTAGTCTTCTTCCAGCATGGAGGTACAGTCTCTTTTGTATGCTTGTTCGGATGGCTTTAGGTGTAGGGTCGATTCGCAATAGTTTCCGTTGCTAGAATGCCGATGTAACCACTGTACAACATGGTATCACTCACCAGCCAAGCTTTTTCCAACCTGCGGCCTGCGTATGCCTATGCAGATCACAGAGTCTTGGTGCAGCAGCTGTTGCTGTGGCTGCCTCCCACAGACAGTTTTTTCACCACCTGACGATGCCCACGGCGAAGACGACGACTGCTTCTCGTAACTCGTACTGGCACCGCTGCGACCGTCACCACCACCACGACCAGCAGGACGAGAGCCCCGACAAAACAATACTTCTCTAGTGGCATGACCATGATATCCCCTCTGCTGCTGCTGTTCCACCTGGACTACTGATACTACCGCCCCCACCGCCGTTGCCGCTGCTACCGCCACCATCACCACCACGATTGCTCCTGCCATTCCTCCTCCTCATCCTCCACCGCATACGGCGACAAGGAAGACAACGACGACCACAGCCATTGGTACAGCTACAGCTAAACCACAAATGCAGCCACAGCCACTGCTACACGTACTGCTAGTCCTGCTACGAGATGCCTGCTTCTAAATCTTCGTATGAGGTGTCCTGCTTCGAACATCGTGCCCTTCCTTAACCCGTGAGCAGCGCTGTGCAAACTGCACGTGCATGCTCCCTTATTCAGACTGAACTGGGTCGTGTGCATAACATGCTTGAAGGGGCAAGATGCACTTGAAGCAGTGCTGCCACTGCAGAAGATAAGGGGCGAGTAAGGATGCTCTACACACTCGAACCCCAGACCCTCCACCCCAAAGCCCCGAAGCCACAAACTAAACAGAACCCCTTCCCTAAAGCCTTGGGCTCCTCCCCTCCTGCAACCGCAGAAGCCCGCAGAACTCAAGCACGCCTAGGCCCACAAAACTCCCGAAAACCAGCTTGCCGTAGATCCTTACACAGAGAGGCCAAAGTCGTGGCGGCTTAGAGTGTAATGTAGCCCAAAGTCCGACTCTAAAGCCCCGAGCCATCAATCGAGCCGGTTCAGCAAGTCAGTCTCCGAGCGAAACGAAGCTACAGCGGAGCAATGTCTGAGTGCTGACTCTTTTGGCTGCCTCGGCAAAAGATGTAGCGGTTCTGTGACTGGCGTCTATCCAGCTTCGGTATCTGGCTGCTATCTAGATTGTGCTGGGCCCGGGCTAAGCAGGTTGTTTTTGTCTGCAGCTCTTACTTGAAGCTTCATGCGTGACATGGTGAGATAATATAGGGGGCCTTAATGGTTACCTCTACTATTGTGGGGGTTCCTCATGATAATCACAGTATATTCGGCCCCAAAATCCGATTCTAAGTTTTACGGCCCCTATATTATGCACGTCCGTAGTCATGGGTCAGGCGACCATACTCGCAGGTAGGATTAAATGATGATGCATGGCCCTGATTAAAGCATGTATACGACGTCGATGGTTGAATTCCCCGTGAATCTCCAAGTTATCTCCCTTGAGCTTGAATACGTCCCGCAGCATCAGCCTAAACCCTAAACCCTAATGCCCTAAACCCTAAACCCACCCAACCCCAGACCCTTAACCCTACCCTAAATCCTAAACCCTAAAACCCAAGCGGGCATAGCTTGCACTATGGCCAGCCATGAGGCACGGGGTATTTAAGGGACATGCTCAAGCCTCGAAGGCAATTCTGAGCTTCTCGTGCCCTGTCCCTTCTCGGGGGGATAGATACACCCTAAGCCCTAAGCCGTCTTCAGACCTGAACGCAACTTGTGGCAACATTGTGAAGTTTGTGAGGCACAGGATCGACAAGCCTCCCCTTAATATGGCGTCGCAGGATTTTGCCTTTCTTCCCTTACAGCTGGTGTTTCTGGATATCCCGCCGAACCTGGAACCCCAGACCCAAAAGCCTAAACTCTAAACTCTACCTCCCCAAGCTCGAAGGCCCACTCTCCTCAATCTCGTCAGCTTCATACAGTCGCTCTGTATAGGGATCCCCAGACTCCAGTTGCGCCTTGTTCTGCTGCTTGCGGCACGAGGGGTGAGGGTGATAAGGGTGATTTTGGAGTTTGAGTCCTGGATGGGAAACTTGGGTCGTCCTTCTAAATCCTCAAGCACGCCGGAACACTCGGAACAACTGAAGCCATCTCAAGCGTAAAGCCTGTGATCCCAAATTCCATCAACCAAGCAGACCTCTAACCCGAAACCTGAAGCCCATGAACTCTGAACCTCTCAAGCCCCAATGCCCCGCAGCCCCTCAGCCCTCAGACGCTTTCAACTCCCCAATGAAACTCCACAAAAGACCTAGATGCCCCTGAAAGCCCCTACTTCAACGCCTCAAAGACCCACTAAGCTTTGAAGCCCTTGAACCCTTAAGCCCCAAACCCTAAACCCCAAAACCCTAAACCCAGAGAGAGGTGACGGACTGGCACCCTCCAGCAGGAGATTGGTTGGTTCGGGCCGAAGATGACTTGAATGCCGGAATACAAAATGGGGGTCTTCATCATCGTGTTTGCTCCTGCTGTCATTGGTACAATGACCGCAACAAATACTGTTGTTTGTATTTTTATCGCTACTCCCAGTCATGGTTGGCATGACGAACATTATTGTTAGTTCTGTAAACTGCTGTTAACACTAGTTATTTCGTTCTCTGCATTGACTATTATTCACCTTGCTCTGGCACGGTAAGTAGCCGGTTTTCATTGCTCTCATCAAAGCTGCTACGATTGTCAGCATTCTTGCAACTATTGTCATTACTGTCGCGCAGATCACGCAATACTTCGGGCGGTGTGTTCCAGAGGGAGGCCCCGAAATCATCTTCCGGTGCCCCTGGTGAATCTTTGATCCTTCACTGCCTTTCTTCTTTTTCTTCGAACTTCTTCCCCCCGAGACTATCAGACAAAGCCATATATAGATCCCAGAAGCAGCGAAGTCCCAGGAACCCTGTGCCACCAAGGTGTCTGATCCCCCTGATGGCATGCCTGAAGCAAGCGCGGCAGGAGGACTTGCTGAGGGATTTCGAGGATTTGGCACTCGGTACTTGTGGGATGAAGCAGCTCAGAGTGGTTGTTCACTGCAGGTGTACGAGTGCAGCAGTGGCACATGGGGATATGTAAGGGGTTCACACGGGTTCTAGAGGGGCAGTTCTACCTTTCGAGGTCCGTGTGCAAGACTGACGTGCTCCTGTGGGAAGCAACATCATTCCCGTGAGCATGCCATTGCAATCCATTGCACACAGACAGATACATATGTATGTGTATATAGTTGTATATATATATATGTATACATACACACATGTATGTATTCTGCACGACTGCGACAATGCATGAGGAACAATTCGATTGGTAGCGACACTAGATCCTCAAGCCCGAACCTCAGGCCAAACCCCTTAAGAAGTGGGTGGTTG